TTTTTTGTTTCATCATTTATGACTATCACAGGAGAGCGGGATAGCTCAGTGGTTAAGGCACTGTGCTCCTAAGATCCAGGTAGTTCCATCAGGCGTTAATAGATATTTAGATCGATAATAACATAACTTCCATAACAGGTGGGCGGGGTGGGCGAATGGGCTAATGCGTGTGCACAGCACACCTGATATATCAATCAAATGATATAAAAATAGTCACGAGTTCGCGTCCCGGTGCCGAGGGAGTCTTTTAAATCCCCTCCCACACTCCCTGGCCCGGGAAAACCCCGTATAGCCTTAACGGCGAGGAACGGGAGTTCCCCCCCAAAAAAATAATAACTTCCATAACAACACCTAGTCTCTACAAAGTGGAAACTCTATTGTCCACATAACACAACTTTTCCTTACCACTCGACTTTGAGTCACTAGCGGATCCAGAATTTAATATTGGGGGGGCTTCATATACATATAACGATAATTTATATTTTTTTTAGAAAAAAAAATAAAGAAATTAACTACCTATATGAAATGTTGTTTAAGTGGTTCTTGAAGTCCTGTTGAATGTAATTACACGAACAAGAATAATTTAAGAGATTGTTTTTAATATTTTTTTTCTGTAAAATGGTTATATTTTACCATTTTGGTTGGGGCTTCAGCCCGAAAGCCTCTCCCCCGTAGATCCGCCTGTGCTTTGAGTAAACATGGCAAAATAGGGTTATTACAAAAAATAAATTTTTTGGAGGGGGGGGGGATTCCAATTCCTTTGAAAGAGAGAAGAAAGCGCTAGTTATACGCTGGTCTATTTCTGCTCGTTGGTCATTCATTGGGTTATTGCGGAGTAGAGGCATTTGAATTTTTCTACTCGGGAATGATTTTCCTTCTTCGCAGATCTTGGTATTGTGGTGGAATTTTCGGCTTATTATCATATATTTTGTTTTCTAGCCATTTACTTGTAAGCCTCCCTTATCAGAGTCTTAGAGAGTTTCTCAATGTCCTCTTGATTATATCCAAGGACAGCTATATCATCTGCGTATCCAAGAAATATATAGCACTATATATATATATATATATATATATATATATATATATATATATATATATATATATATATAATGTATATAATATATATAGTGGGACCCACGCCCCAATGTGCTCAGCCAGTTCTCCTCTCAAAATATTAAATTAATTTCTTTTAGTTGTTTCTTTAGTTACATTAAGTAACATTTGAATTTTATTTCATTCCATATGTCTCTAATTCAGTTGCTTTATCAACAGACTAAATTTATTATGCTCATATCCTTTATATATATATATATATATATATATATATATATATATATATATATATATATATATATATATTTTTTTTTATTTCTAAAAAATGGTGGGGGTCCTTGGTGGTCCTAAAACCAGCACTGTATGTAACGTAATTTGTAAATGCAGGATTCCTTATGTTTATCAATCCCAAACAGTTCAACGCTTATTCTCTTATGTGCTTTAATCCATGTCTATAATCTTCTTGAAGAAGAAAAATTATTAATTTCCATGAAATTTTCCTGATCCCTCCCTCTTCTTATCAGGATCGACAACTGCTTCCTCATGTTTTTTTTTTTTTATTCCATCACTCTTATATTAGGAAGTGGGCTATTTAGGGACTGAGCATCTCATCTTAGTTATTGTGAAACACGCACTCACGATTTAAAGTCACACGACAATTCTTGTGAAGCCGACACGCGAGGTACTGACCACCGCATCTTACTGTCGTAAGAATAGTTTAATATTTGTTTTTATATTTAATAACTGTTTCCAATCTCGTGTATATTTTTAATTAAAACTATATCTTGTTTAAATTAAAAAAACAATTGTTTATGTTGAATATTTAATAGTTGACCGTTGCATCATAAAGGAAAGAGATGGTCCTGGGTGGCGGTCATAAATACTCTAAATAGTGACAAAACTATTTTATTAAAAGCCAACGTTTCTACCCGATTTTGCAGGTCTTCTTCAGGGAGCTAGGAGTTTCACTTAAAACTGAATAAAAAAAGTGAGTTTTAAATGAAACTTCTAGCTGAACACACTTCCCTGAAGAAGACCTGCTAAGACGGGTCGAAACGTTGGCTTTTAATAAAATAGTTTTGCCACTGTTTAGCCTATTTATGACCGCCACCCAGGAACATCTCCTTCCTTTAAACAATTGTTTATTTTCGTTAACTCTTGGACAGAAAATTATTAATAATATTTAAATTAAAATTTTAATTTTATAACTCGCTAATGTTTCTCATATTTAAAACAATTTTTGAAAATGAATTTATTTTTTTTTATCTAATAATAAAGTGCATTTATTTTTGTTTTTGTTAATCATTTTTATAAATAACATTCTATAATTGTTATTAGCAAAAAATGACTTGTGGTTGATTGATTTAATTATATGTTAAGGATCAGTTAATGCTATGCTCAATAGATGTTTTGTTTTATTCATTTTGATTTGTCATCTAATTTTATACATCAAGATGACCGAAACGTAGACTATCAAACCTTCCCCCCCCAAAAAAAAAAATTGTTTTGGTTTCCAATCCCATTGACTGTCCCTAAGGATAAATAACCGACAATAGTAAAAAATGGAACCTTCGAATACTTTGGAGATTAATAATTTTGTTCGCTACAATAATCTGTGGTACAGACCTCTTTTTTTCAAATTATTAACATCTCCCCGAAACTTCGTAAATAGCTTCATCTTATCATAATCTACAAATATTTTATTTACGAAAACTCTCGGAATTGGGGCGTTTTCAATCAGGAGATTGGCAAATTTTGTTTATTTAATTATGTAATAAAAACTTGTCAATACTCATTTTCTTTCTATTTCTATCAGAAATATAAAAATATTGAGCTATTTGGCATGACCTATTCCCCCAAAATGAGAAAATAAAGAGGTTATATAGACTAAAATATTTTTGTATGCCATCTTTTTTCTCCATTTTGTGCTCAAATTATCTTAGTAGAAAGCAAAAGGTATTTTCGAGGTTTTAGTACCTAATTAAATAAACAAAGTTTGCTGACCACCAGATTGAAAACGCCCCAATTCCAAGAGTTTTTTCTTGTTAATAAAATAGTTGAAGGTTACGATGAGATGAAGCTATTCACGAAGTTTAAGGCGGGTGTTAATAATTTTATAAAAGGGAGTCTGTACCACGGATTACAATTCTAAATAAATTGGATATACTTTAGAGAACACACAAAGTAATTCTAATAAATATGGAAGTTTTTTTTTTCTGTTTTGTACAATTATTGTAATCTGAATTCCAAAACTGACTCTCGTCATATTCTGCTATGGAAGCTGTCCTCTCACAATCCTCTTGCAGCCATTTTCTCTTTAAAATCTTTCATCCAGACCATTCTTGGCAGACCCTCTTCTTTCTTTACTGTGTTTCTGTTGGAAAACGTGGCCATACAATTGAAGCCTTCCGCATCGAATATAACATAATTTTTTTCCTATATATATTTTTTCTAATAGCACTATTTGATATATGTTGATACAAATTGTAAGTGAATGATTTCAATTTCTTTGATACAATTGAAAATTCATTAACTGTTCAATACGAAACAACCTATTTCATACATGAAAAATAAAAATGTTAAGTGATTGAGTTAATTTTAATGCCAGGACAATTCTGGTATTGTTTTTAAAACATACGGAACCTCTTATAAACCAAGACTGAAAAAAATGCTAAATATTTAAAAAAAAATTAAAACGAAATACATAAAAGATTAGCACATATTGCATGTACATATCAAAATGTTATAAAATCAGAAAATATCTTGTTTTAATTTATTATTTATTCCAGTACTTTCAATAACGTCACATGGGAAAAACAAAACGTATTTACATTTTTACATTAAATGAAGAATATTATATATATGTTTATGACCGATATTGCAATTGTACGAAAAGTATAATGAGAAATAATAATTAATAATTTTAAGTGGGAATCATAAATAGTTTTTTAAATTTTCGTTTCTATAAGTTAAGGACATATTACCTCTTTGGATTTATGAATTTTAAATATTTTTTTTTTTACTCATTATATAGTCTTATCTTAGAAAGTTATGTCAAAATTTGTTAAATGTAATCAAATTTAGGCTTAATTTTGGCATTTGTTAATTTTTTAAATGTATGGTTTTTCAAATCGATGCGTTGTATTATATAACGGGTGGTTTCGGCATTCCGCCGGCTCGTTTACATAATTAGTATTGATGACATATTTTAACGGTTCTAAATGCAATTAAAATTCTAATTTAATAAATAATATAGTTTTATCTTTAATTAAGCCTAATTTCCAGCCATTGCTTATCGAATTAATATTTTTATAAATTTTAACAAAATTCACTGATTACTTACAAGTTCATATTGCCTCATAAGTATTGGATATTTTCGTAACGTTTAAGAGAACGTTGTTTTGTGCAGTTTGTCTTATGATGACTCATATTAGTTAATTAAAGTCAATATAATTAAAGAGAACATTAGGGTGTGGTATAATTGATATATGGTTATGCGCGAGATACTGTTAACAACGAATCTATCAACATTTAAACTCTAGTCTTTTCATGAGTATTCAGTTGTTAAATCTCAGTATTTTCTAGTTAAAAAGTATTAGATCTGAACTATACTCTCATTTACTATCGGTCTGTTAACATTAGTTACGTGTTAACCAATTGCCCTAATTTATTAAATTGCACCAATTTTTTTATGGGTTGATATTTTTTAGAAGTATATAACCTACCCGATCTTTGCAACAGAATCTCTTATATGATATTAGATACGTTTCGTTCCTATTCTGAGATTAAATTACTAATTTAGCACAATTCTAGCTGGACTGTCTTGATTGAATGTATTGTATACCTAATTGGGCTTAAAGAGGCAAGAATCAATTCCCATTATACATAAGACTTACTGTTTTGTTCTTTTTAATTATAGATTTAATTATTGTTTTTCCAGATTGAAAATGGTTCATTACAGTGAGTCAACTAATATTTCTCCTCCACTAAGTGGAGGACAATTAGATATTTATAGAAAACAAGCATCATTCAAACTACAGAATATGCGAATAGCCATCGAGGATCCAGAAAGAACAGCAATTAAGGTGAGTGAAACAAATAGATTAATATTACACTTTCCAATTTTATAAAAAAGATGTAAATTTATCTTTGAGTGGAATTTCAATAAATCTGACTTTAAAACTGTCAATTCAGTGTATATTTAGTTCCTATTGATACTATGAGGTACATGTAGAGTATGAAAGGTTGTGGTCGTAAAGTAGATCAAGATTACTCCACACATTATTTTGATTTAAAGAGGTGTGTTCCGATTTTCACAGAGAAGACTAATCTTGGATAAAGTCGATTTAAACTGAAAATAGATTGTTAAGGGTTTATTTAAACATTGAGAGAACAAGTGATCCTTGTTGTCAATAGTGCTACCTTCAAAATTCTATCTGCTGTGTAATAAATGTTATCTTGACCCAAATGTCAACCAGATGTGACACTGGTGAACTATAATCCAAGAAAACATAACTCTTTAAACTTTGTGAATATAGATCTGAATAAATGTCATCAGTGATATTAAAACCATAAAGCTTATGAATTTTTATTATCAAATTATAGTACTAGTTCAAAATTGCTACACCGAAATGGAGCCTGGCTTCAGGGTCATTTCGATCACTCAGCAGATAGAATCTAAATAACTGCAATAATTAGTAGAGTATTGATAAAAGAACAGAGGTGTACTGACTTATATAATCATTATAATATTAATTACAGTTTATTAAATTATATTAATTATAGGATAATTATAAATACTTTTAAAATATAAACTTAATTTAGATTGCAGTAGTGCTTACTCATTATGATTGTAATTTAATTCTTAGCATCATAATTGTTTTGCTTAATAATCAAATGATGATGGGAAATCATGATTATTGTGGGTCAAAAACATTGAAAATATGTTTATTTTCAATATTTCCTAGGAAGAAGTTAAAGTTTCGACTAACAGCTGACAAATATTTTATTAAATCAGTTCAGACTTTTTTATTATATTTTATTATAATAATGAGAAAAGTACCTGATGGATATTGAAGCTGATATAACAAAACATAAATATTTATTATGAATGAAGATGAATTTTGCCTCCTAAACACCTTCAACCCTTATAAATAACAAAGGGTTGGTATTTGACATTTGGGAAAACTAAGGACTTTATTTACAGTGCGCTCGATGTGATCTTGAAATGTCCTGGTTTACTTCTCATAGTCTTTAAAAAAATGGATGATAATGGAATCACCAATGGTCTAGAAAATGTATTTTCAAATTCATTTCACGAAGCTTGTTTCTTCTATATTTTTGTCACTTTTAACAAGTGCACTTCAGTGTTTTAAACCTATTTGATGTTTCTATTTCCCTAAACTTTTCTTGATTAAACTATTGATGGAATGGAAGACCCCACCCCAGTGATTAATGCCCTTTCTGCGTGCGATCTGGATCACCTTACTCAATAATAAGTTTGAAAGATGGTTGCTATTCTATTGCATTGAATAGAAGTTCAGTATTCTGTTTGAATGAGTTTTGTTGGTATGGTTTCGGATTACATTCTCTTTGACATGGGCCATAGTTGATTTAAATTAGTTTCTAATTTGTTTCTTGATTCCTTGAAAGGAAACCTTGTTTAGACCAAAAACAATAAACAATGGGAGACATTCTTATTTATACAACTTGTAAACAGGAACTAATTACTTCTAATACAATGAATATAGTGTAGTTCAAAGAAATATAAAAATATAAATTCTACAGATCAAAAGTTACTCAAATTACCTTGGTTATTCAAATGTTCATGTCTTGCTTCATTAAATCAAAACTATCAAATATAATCAACTCCTGGTTATACGTGGAGTTGAATGACGTGATTGCCACAGATAACAGAAATTCACAGATAAACATCTAATAATTTGTTTTCAATTAAAACAAGTGAGGCATTTTTTAAAATAAATATATGATAGTATTTAAAAATAAAAATAATAAATAATTAAATATGAGAAGGAGTTGATCGGGGGTTGCGGTCAAATAAATATTAAATTTTAAAAATACTATTTTTAAAATTTAATATTTATTTGACCTCACCTCCCTCCCCTCCCTCCTCCCCCGATCAACTCCTTCTCATATATCGCGGTCAACCATCTCTACATCAAAAATAAATTAATTTAAATTAAATTGTCCTCTATCCAACTGATAATTTATTGTTACTATACAACATAATTTATTGACTGTAATTTTGAATTTTATATTTACAAATAGTTTTTATCCCTGTAAAATATGGGGGTGGAGAATAATTTGTAATAAATTAACTCTATAATTCAAAATATGAACTAGTTATCTATCCTCACAGTACTGTCATTGAATACATGTCTTATTTCGTCGACTTGATCAAGAGAGGAGGACTTTATATTATTTATCGATGGTGTTTTTGATCGGCAAGCCATATCATCATTAATTTTTCACCAAATCTCAAGATTGAGCCACCAATTTCGACGGCTTCCTTCTCCTTCAGGCAAAGTAGTATAATCACCCCGAAAATTCAGGCAAACAAGTTATGAAAGAAAACAAACTTTATTTGCAAATAACTTTAAAATTACACACTTTCCCCTTGGTTATGCCCATGATTATATAAAAGATTACTAAATTCCCTACCAAATGAAAAAAAAATTCATTGAAATCGGACAATATTTAGCAAAGATACAGCTTACTGAAATTTGTATACATGTTGGTTCCAAACAGAAATGAAGATTTAAATTGATTTTTGTTTTTTTTGTCGATTTATCGCTAAAGGAACATTTGATTTATTTATCTTTTGATATGTTGCATTAATTTATTTTCTTATTAATTTGTGCATTTGATAACAATATGCTGTGCGAATTTTTCTACTAGTAACTAATTATATTTTCAATCAGAATAACTTGTTATTTTAAATTTGTCTGTATTTGCATTTATCTAAAGTAGATAGTAAGATCAGTGTATTGTAAATTGCTAATATTTAATTTTGCAGATGAAAGTTTGGACTTATCTTGAATCAGATCCTGCTTACTGGCCTACGAACAAAATCCTAAGTTCCGATGAAGAGAAACACAAGACAGCTAAACTACTTGAAAAGTTCAGAAATTCCAAACTATTTGATAGTCTTCACAGTTGGGATTATAAAACCAGGGTATGTTTTATTCTAATTATTTTCTTGATTTTTATTTGGGAAAAAAATTCTATAACTTAATTAAAAATTTTCAGACAAGATATTTAATTACACTAAATCAAGCCGTTGAGATGTTGAATGCAAACTTATCAATAAAATTCGCACTTGGAGTATCTCTGTTTGCGAATGCGTTGTTATGCCTTGGTACTCAAAGACACTTGAAGTATTATAAAGACGTTTGGAGCGGCAAGGTATCTAGCTTTGTTTTGTTTAATTTAGTCTTAATTAATATATATAATTTAAATTTTATTATAAGAGAATGATTATTTTGTAGATTCTTAGTTGCCTCGCTATTACCGAGTTGGCCCATGGAAGTGATACAAAGCGCCTCAAGACTACGGCCACTTACGATCATCTTAGTAATGAATTGGTTCTAAATACACCCAATATTGGTGCAGCTAAATGTTGGGTAGGAAATTTAGGTAATTTACTTTTTTAATTTTCTGCCTATACTAATATATAAAGGGTGTATACATACAAGGAAAACTAGGAGTTTTGTGAACCTCGTTGAATTTTAAAAAATATTTCAAATTTAATTGAAAAAATGAAATAATAAAATGTATAACTGATAATATAAAGTGGCACTCCCGGTTAGCCGATTATGAGGAAAAAGTTACGGTAACATTCCAGGCATGTACAAATCTTAAGTACACAATTTCAGTTGAGTGCGAATTTCCGTTTTTTAGCTAGACTGTTCACATACATACACCCACCCACACACACACAGACCATTTTGCGAAACTTGTTTTTTTGGATTCAGAGGACCTCAAAACATGTATTTCCAATGAAAACTCAGATTCAAAAATTTTCACGATTGCAATACTTTCCCTTACAATATAAATCCACATTTTGCCATACTTGTAAAAACATTTTGAAGAAAATCTTGGGGTATATCGTCCCACTCATCCAATGCACAGCTGCCTTTAGCATTTCAAGGGTAGTAGGAGGTGAATTTCGTGACCGAAACTTTGAAATAAACCGAAACGTGCTTGATTGGGGTAAGATCAGGACTTCTTGATGGCTAATCAATGGTGTGGATATTTGTGGTGTTCTGGTACTCAGGAACACATCTTACCTTATAAGGATGGGCATTATCATGCATTAGCAATGATTCAGAGCCTCTGAATCAACGGCATAAAAGGCACTACATGATCTTGAAGAATCATTTCTACATACCTCAAAGCATTCAAAGCCCCTCCTTGGATTGGCACTTACTCTGTAAGTGCCTTCCAAGATATGTTGCTCCCCAACATGATAGATGGTTCAGTTTCTAACGTGCAGCACTGATTATACCGTTCTCCAGGCGCTCTCCAAACTCTTTACGGCCATCTGGTCTGTTAATGGCCACTCTCCTATCATCAGTGAATACAACTTTTTTGTATTCCTCTACAGTCCAAGATTGATGTTCCCTTACAATTATCAATCTCTTTATGCCGTGTTCTGCGGTGAGAAGAAGACTTTTCACTGAACTTCTCAGTCTTCTAATGACCGCTGACTCTGAGATTGATATCCCTCGAACACCAGCGATCAAGTTTTTAATGGAAGAAGCTGTAGAATTACGCTTCCAAGGTGCGTGCATTTTAATGAACCGGTCATCTATGGGATTAGTAATCCTGGGACGCCTTGGCGTTGGTGGCCTCGAATAACTACCAGTCTCTCTTTACCTATTTTTAATAAATATAATTTCCTAATTTTTACTTGTTGGGCGCCTGGCTTTACTAGCTTTAAATCTGTAAAGAAATAAATATAGAGAATATAAGTTATTTAGCCATTGATTGGCCATAATAAAACATTTATGCTACCATGCTAGCTCAGGTGAGAAGCTGTTAGCTTGGATTTTTTTTATAAAGCTGCAAAGAAAAACTATTTCAGGTTAAGAGATCTATGTACAGAAAAAAAAAATTACGGAATACTATGTGCAAGCAAAAGAAATAAAACAAAAGGAAAAAGAAAATTTAAACATAATTACTATATACAATTTAAAGATACTAGAATAGATAAAATAGAAAGATACTTAAGATAATAGGGTAATAGAAATAACAAAAAAGATACTTATTCTAGGTACAATGGCATGCCACATCTATAAATACAAAAAAAAAACATAATCCAGACACATGCATATGCTAAAATCCAGACATTAATCATTAGTCCTAAGAAACAAAAAGAAGAAGAGTTCTATATTTTCCAAGGCTTCCTCAATCTCGGTTACAACATTAATGTGCCTTGCCAATCCAATAATCATTCCACTTGCTATTTTGATAATATCTTTTGGACTGATGAATATGCTGTGTGATTTCGTAACTCAACATAGTTGAGTAGCCATGCGATTTTATTGTAGTCCTAATCTTTAAAATAGAATTAAATTATTTCCTTGTTTTATGCATCACTTATTTATTGTTATTTGTCCTTATTAAGGGAGGCAGTCGACTCACGCTTTGCTGTTCGCTCAGCTGATCGTCGACAACATTTGTCATGGACTCCATGCTTTTATTGTACCTATTCGGGATCCTGAGACGCTCATACCATATCCCAATATAACAGTTGGTGACATTGGTGAAAAAGATGGGCTCCATGGCATTGATAATGGGTATATTATTCAATTTATACTCTATTTTTTTTTCTCATTTATCTATTTTTTTATATTACTTTTAATTTTTTTTTTAGTTATGTAATATTTCATTATTACCGAATTCCAAAAGAATGCCTTCTAAATAAAATCGGTGACATTAATGAGAACGGAGAATATGAAACTGCTTTTACCAATCCACAAGAATTGTTAGGTAATATTGTGTTTATTATTATCTCATCTCTATAAGCAATTTAATATATATTTATACTCCTTTCCATATATATATATATATATATATATATATATATATATATATATATATATATATATATAATGATGTAGAGATGGTTGACCGTTGATATGATATGAGAAGGAGTTAGTTGAGGGTGCGGTCAAATAAATAAAAAAAATTAAAATATATAAATAATTTTAATTTTTGCCGACGTTTCGACCCACTTTGCAGGTCGTCTTCAGGGCTACAAAAGATACAAACATGTTTGTTTCTTTATCATCATAACCTTGTTTTTACATTTATTCTTACATTTTAAAGTATTCTTTTAAAATTATTGTTTTCTTATAGAGTTATTTATACTTAATAATCTATCCCAACAATATTACACTAATGTTACCCTATTAATCTTTCAATTTCTTCACTTCTTAACCTTTGGTCCCGTTATCTGTTTATTTACAATTAAAGGTAACCTCCACTTGCTTGTTATCCACTGATATCTTATTATTATGTTATCTTATCCATATTTTAACTTTACTGTAACAATAGTTATTCAATTTTCAATCTATTTATTCGTTAACATTCATTTATTCGTTAACATTCATGTATTTATTTTCTTTTATCTATTTTCTTATCATGTATTTATTTTATTTTATTTATCTTTTATTTCTGTATCTGACAACTTCTTCGTGATTTATATATACTTATATTTATTTTTTATTTTATTTTTATTTTTTCAACATGTTTGTATCTTTTGTAGCCCTGAAGACGACCTGCAAAGTGGGTCGAAACGTCGGCAAAAATTAAAATTATTTATATATTTTAATTTTTTTTATTTATTTGACCGCACCCTCAACGAACTCCTTCTCATATATATATATATATATATTTTTAAAATGTGTAATATATTTTTTTAAATTATAGGAGCTGCTTTAGAAAGTCTTTCTGCTGGAAGAGTCGCTATTTTACAAGAATCTTCCAACACTTTGATAAAAGCTATAGTTATCGCTGTAAGATACTCAGCTCAAAGGTTACAGTTCAGCGATGGTGAGGGGAATGAACTTCCAATCCTCGAGTATCAAACACACGTGAGGAATCACAATTTATTTTTTAATATAGTGAAGCCTTGTCTGGTGAGATGACGGGCCAAGATCATTTGGTCACACTGTAATGTTGAAGCTAGCCAAGTGTGTCTGTCTTTTGACAGGTTAATGTATAACTAGTTGCATTACAGTGAGGTTCAGAATAAAATACAGTTGAATCTCGAAAATTCGAATTCCAAGGGACAACAAGAAAAATTTGAATTATCGATACTTCGATTTATCAAGAGGAAAGAATAAAAAATTGAATTGTTAAGAGTTTTTATTGTATTTTTGAAAATATGCATGAACTTACATAAATTTTATATATACTTAGCATCAAGTAAAAATAATGTAAATGACAAAAAAATTATATATTAGCATCGCAATAGATGATAACATACCTAATTAAAAAAAAATAAGAATAGTTTTATGTTTAATTGTGGCTTGTCGTTTCTGGCTCAATAAAATAAAATTGTTTTCCTTCATTCTTCAGAATTGTAGACAGCGATGATGCTGGAATATTGAAAGTTTTGGCAATTTCATTTTTTATCGAACGGCTTTCCACGGCCACAATAATTTTTTGATTTCGGACCCACTAACGAAGACGTACATCTGCTTTGCATTCATTATGACAAACTAAAGTGAATTGGGAAGTTAAGCTGGACTATAAGAAAGTTAACATTACCCGGAAAATAAGGAGTAAACATTGCTAGAAAAAATTTAGATTATAAAGAGGGGAAGTGGCCTAGTTTGAATTATAGAACATTCTCTCTCTCTCTCTCTCTTGTGTTACAAAACAAATTTAAGATATCGAGCGTATCTTATACCGTATTTTTTGGACTTACCAATGTTAACTGCTGAAAAGTTTGAATTATCGAGAATGACTGTATAATGAATAAATCAAATGATATCTTCTTATAAACTAGTTATTAACCAATATTTCTTATACTTTAGATAATACAGAAAGAAGAAATACACAGTTAATGACATTCTTATGCATTCCTATTGGTAAATATTAATAAAATTCTGTTTAATTTCTTTTTAAGCAATGGCGTCTTTTCCCATTCCTCGCGGCAAGTTATGCTTTCAAATCATTTATGCACGACTTCGACGAACAATATATTAACGTCGTCGCCGATTCACGTGAAGGAAGGATCAATGTAGCTCATTTAGTAAGTTATATCTTTAATGTATCTTTTATCATTCATAAGATAAATTTAATTTATTTATTCATGATTGTATGTTTTAGCCGCAAATGGTGAAAGGTATTCATGCGATAGTATGCACTACAAAAGCTCTGATAACTTGGACGACCCAAACTGCCATCCAGGAATGTAGAGAAGCGTGTGGTGGTCATGGATACCACAAAGGTATTGTGTTTTAATCTTTTATATAATTAATTAGAAATTAGTTAGTAAAGAAGATTGGTCTCGATAATTTGACAATTGCCAAATATCACCAATAGGTCTTGAAATTGGTCAACATCCAAAAGAGTCTTGAGTTTCATTAGGCACATGATAACTACACCAAGTTTAGATATTCGTAGATATCAATTTCCCTAATAATCTACTAAGATGTTTAAGTAGATGTGGAAGTACATTTCCTTAGGGTGGATAAAACTTCCCAATTTATGTAGTCTGTTTTTTTAAATTCAAATATTTTTTTATTTTGACATTTTTAGTTTTTAAAATATTAACAATATAATATATGGTATTTGTTAAATATCCGGTTGGGTCGAAACCTTTCTTGTTTTCTAATCTTATATCACATAACCTCCCTTCTTATCTCGTCTAACCTAAGTTATTCCATTGTTTATTTTTTGTTCCTCGTGTAAGCTGCGAGTTAGTATTATTTTAGTAAAATTATGGATGTTGTTACATTGTTCGAATTGCCGTGTTCAGAAGAAGAGGCTATCAAATATTTTCAAGACACCAGGATAATTGCAAAGGTGAAATATTGTGATGAAGGTCATGAAATGAAGTTGGACGGGAAGACGAAATGGAGATGTTTTCACACTTGTAACAAAAACGTTTCTATAAGGAAAGGAACGTAGTTAGAGGGGTCGAGGATTTCTTTTTTAATGGCTTTAAAATTCATTTATGGGTGGTTCCATAATTTAACTATTTCCTCACTGTTTTAAATAGTATAAAACTATTTTCCCTACCAAATAAATTAAATTAAAATCAAAATGTTTTTTATGTACATATTTTGTTTCTTTTATATGTACGTATGTTCTTTATAGTCTTAATCTATTTTTATTATTTCATTTATTTTTATATATATGTTGCAATGTTTTTACATTATATATATATATATATATATATATATATATATAAATTTTGGTCTATGTAATATATATCTTGTAAGATAAAAGTATTTTTTTATTATTACATTTGTTTTTGTTTTTGTTTACAATTTCAATAATATGAATATAATACAATAAATATGATCACATGATATCATTTCAAATCAATTAATAATCGAGGTAATTAAACTATAATAAAATTTTATTTCAGTATTTTGGACTCTAAAACGTTTCAAAACATTCATGGGATCTCACTTAGTAATTACAGCCGTCAAAACTAAAAATCAATCATACCATCCGCTCAATAATTCATTACGTAACTTTTAGCGAATTGATTGAATACACTTTACTCAGTCATTTGCCAAAACTTTGAGCTCAAATTGTTTGGAAAAACTCAGGAGATCTCACTGAATAATTTGAGCCATCAAACTTAAAAATCAATCTAGCCGTTCACTCAAAAAAGCGCTGCATAGCTTTTAGTGGACAATTATAACATAAACCTCGTTTCACTTTGCTTAATCGGGTAATAAAGGTACAGTCTTTTAGGTTTGTGAAATGCAATGTTCTGATCATATCGTTACTTGAGGCATAAATTTGATCGATGATTCGTACTAAAATTTAAATGAAGGCTCTCTTGTGTTTGAGATTTAGTGTCCATGGTGCTTTCAGATGTCTAGGCTTTTATCTCTCCCATCCTTCATCCACCAGGTTTTTTTTTTTTAGTATATCATGATTGGTTCTCAAAAGGTTTAGAAAATTTGAAACTATTTCATCTCTGTAGACTGAGGGAGAGAAAGATGCTCTAAATTACATCTGGCCCAGTAAACGAGAATGGACATCGGAAAATAAGAAAAAATAGAGAGCTTGAACAGCTCTATGTTGTTTGAAGGTAACCTGCGATGGCTATACCATGTTCAAAAGATACCAGATGAGAAGCTACCAAAAACAATTATGAATGGCAGGCCAGGTGGAAAGAGTAACGAAAAGACCAAGGCTGAGGTGGTTGGATGACATGGAAAACGGCTTGATACAGATGGTAGTAAGAGGATGGCGAAGATAGGCAGGAATGGCTATCGATCCTAAGTGAGCCCTAAGTACAGATAGGATTATTGTCCCATTAAGTTAAGCCTGAGGCTTATCTGTGCTGGATAAACAGTGTTTAAAATGGAGGGAAATAAAATAGTGGTGATCAAAAAACCTGATGAAAGATAGTTTTTTTTGGTGGTTAGGAGTGGTTTTTGTTAAACATTATAATTAACACAAACATTTATAGTTTCTGCAGAAATAAAAAAATTGTATACTTAATTATGACTTTTCTGTTATAGCCGCAGGCTTCGGAGATCTAAGAAGCAATCACGACCCTCGAGTTACTTTTGAAGGTGACAACACTGTTCTTCTTCAACAGACATCTAATTGGATTCTTCGTTTGTACAACGATCCAGATTTAGACTCTGAAATGTTTCCTCTTTCCGAAGTATCATTCATAAAGAACAAAGATATTGTTCTGCAAAGGAAATATCGTAATGATGTTTCTATAATTTCTGATAAATGTAAGTTTATAAGTTAAGCAATAATTTTTAAATAACAGGTATTGATTTTTATTATGTTTTTTGTTCTACATTGCTTAGGTAATTTTTTATTAATTAAAGATTATACATCTTTTTATTATTATTATTTTTTTTTTAAATTTACCTTCTTTTTTCTTTTTAGTTATTATGGAAACTTATGAATGGCTTATTTGTTGGCTATCTAAATCTACGTTGGAGAAGATGAACAATTTAAGGAAACAACAGAAGGATAAGTTTCTTATCAGAAATCAGACTCAAGTTTTTAAAGCACGTACTCTGTCTCTAGTTTTTGCTGAGGTATTTTTTTTTTTTTTTGTAATTATAATTACGTATATTTCTAATGATTATTTGAAATCTTAAGCTTTTATTCTTTTCAGTTCCTCATTCTTACTTATTTTATTAAAAAATGCAAATCCTGCTCCAACGATGTCAGACCTGTTCTCTACAAATTGTTTAATTTATATGGTCTTTGGTCGCTACATAAACATCTGGCGGTTCTCTACCAAGGTAATTACCGATATTTCAATTTTTTAAATGTAATAATCATTTAGTTCTTTAATTACCAATTTGCATCTGGTCCTACGGACTAGAACTGTGGGGGACAACCAAATTTTCTAACAAATGCATTCAATCTTTTCAGTCCAAAGTCCTTCGTACAATAGTCGATGCTCCCTTCTATGTCACCAATAAAACCCTGCATAATGACCTTAATATTCCATTTATTCTTGATCTTATCCCAGACAAATTATCCAAATTTCATCAGAACCTTACCCATCACCCTGATCTAGTAGCACAATCCCTATCTAGCAACACTCATCCCTACAATCCTCCTCGCTAGTTAAAACGGCAGTGGCCCCGTGACCTTTTGTAACATGTATATATTGGAGTTCTGGCAATGGCCAGATTCTCCACTCAAGTCATGAGTGTCTATGGTTGTAGCTCCCTTACTCAATCTCCGCTGGCTTTTAATACCAGTGAAGTGGTTGAGAAAGAAGCTCAGGGATCTCCTGAAGCCTCGCTTTCCCTCCACATGTGGGTGGGAACTATGGTTCGTGGATGTGGAAAATGGTGTAAATATGGTTCGGAGTTCCCATGGCCAACTGTAAATAGGTATGCCTGCGTCTAAGATGTTTATTTTCATTTTTTTTTTTTAAAGATATGTTTAATTCTATTTTATTCATTTATTTGTATTCTATTATTACTATTATTTATATTTTCTTCCTTCACTATGATATTTTATTTTGTTCTTATTTATCTTTATATTATTTTAAAATTACCTTATTTATTTTTTTGTTTTGAATTTGTAAATATGGTGTGAATGTGCTCTCAGAACTCTATTATAAATGTCCTTTATTGAGATAGAATGTAATATTTTTCAATAAACAAATAATCAAGAAAAAAAATAACCAATTTAATCAATGGGGTAGTAAAGGTTTTTGGAAAAAAATATAATTCTACTTTCTTATAGGCAGTTTTGATTAAGTACGATAACACCTAAATTCAATAATTATTGATCATTGTTACCGATGAATTACAATTCAAATTATTATTTTTCTTGCATTCCTTTTAAGAGAGCTTTTATTTTATCTACAATTACTTACTACAGTATATATGAAATAATTTCATCAACACTTGTTATGACAAAAATATAACTTTGGGGCTGATAAGAACCTCCTTTATAAAGAATTCACTAAGAGATATACTGACTAACTAGAAATGAGCTAACTCACTTTGCGATTGCATTTTTAAATAGCCCGATTTTTAATTTTTTAAAAATCATTAAAAATTAATTTTTTTTTCTCTTTTCCTTTTTTTTTTTTACCTAATGTGCGAACTTTAAATAATTAAACTTTAATAACAATAAACAATTTTTAACCTTAATGTGCATTTTACATTTTTTAAATTTTATCCAATTCTTAATATTTATAACCAAAAGATAAAATAATATATAATTTTAATTAAGGCCGTTGATGACCAACAGGTTCTATGCCTTTACTACACAACCAACTAACCAATAGCCCGATGGATCTTTCTTTATTGGCTGGGCTCAGATATATTCCCTAAATTTTTATTGGTCAAATGGTCATCAAGATTGTTGATCAATTGAGTGTCACCTAGAATCTTTTGACCATCTTTCATCATTTTACAATCCGGATACATAAAAATACCACAATATTAAATAAATCGTGATTATCAAATTGAAATTTAATATTTTCAATTTATAAGACAATGCTCACAAATGTTTTGTTTTTGTCTTTTAAATAATTCATTAGGGTGAATGCACCAGTTACAGACAGGGGACCCAGTGATGGACTTTAAATGTAAATAATAAGCTTCCTTGTTGATTTAAAGATTCCAGTTTTTTTCTAAATTGATAAACAATGCCCTCTATTGACAATAATATGAACAAAGTTCCCAAAAGTAAATTTTAAAATGCCTATCATTGTTGTTTCTATATTGCTCTTGAGATCAGTGTGTTTCATACCTTCCTACTAACAATTTTGCTAACAGTAAGTTGAACGTTTATGTTATATTATCTTTATACTTAAATAAAGATTTTATGATTTTTCTGAGGTATGTCTATTAGGGCTAGGGCTTGAATTGCAAAGGATTTGTCAAACACCGCTGTTCGGTGAGGAAGCGGATAGAGGTCAGAAGTATGAGATCTAGTGGGACAGGATCGAATTGAATATTTAAATTGTAAAAATATAGGAGAGTCGATGAGTTTTAATGACCTGGTACAGCAATAGTCAAAGTGGGCAAAAATTAAGGAAGTTACTAGGAGTCTACGGGTTTCAAGGTGACGGGAGTAATTTAGACGTTTTAAGGTGGAAATGGTACGGCGGGAGATGTTGGATATATGATTTTTCCAGGAAAACGTTTGATCAAAAATCATTCCAAGATTTTTGATGGAAGGATAGAATTTGATGGGATTATCATGTTGGAACAGAGTTGGAATATTAGGAACTGTTGTAAGTTGTAGGTGATTGGAGCCTATTAAGATTGCCTTCATCTTTTCTGCATTCATCAACTTGTTAGCTCTTGCCCAGTCACAAATCTCATCCAAGTCTTCTTGAAGTTTTTCTGTGGCTGATAATAGGTCAGTGGGCGGGAAGGACAGATATATTTGGGAATCATCTGCATAGATATGGTATTGGGAGTGACGGATCAGGAGGGGAAGGTCATTAATATAAATAGCAAACAGAGTAGGAGATAGAGAGGAACCTTGAGGGACACCACAGGAGAGGGGGAGGATTTTAGATGGAGGTTGATCTGGGACAACCTGGGTAATACTGGGTAATAGGCGTATCTCTTGAGATTCCAAATGCAACATGAACTAAAATTTAAATCAATTGTTTCAGGAGGTTATTGTGAAGGGCCTTCATTCGGAGAAGGTCTTTCTGAGGCAGTTCTTCGTTTGTGCAGCGATTTGAAGCCTGAAGTAGTTGCGCTCACTGACGCTATTGCACCTCCAGACTTTGTCCTCAATTCTATTCTTGGATGCTCTGATGGCAAGGTATTTGGCTTTTATTCTCTTTATTAAAAAGAAAATTCATGCCTCATGTTAGGTTATAATTAGAGACAAGATTTTCATGTTATTGTAAATTTTGTGTAAAAACTTCAAACCCGACAATCTATCCATTTTACAGTCTGTAGAATAACATATTGAAATTTCGTTTTTCACAAAATTGCACGTTTCAGCCTTTTTGGGCTTTATTGCACATTTTTTGTTTTTGTTGCTTGATATTGCATAGTTTTCAATTTAAGGGCTAAATTTCAGTTTTAACAGTATAAAGTGAAATACTTAAACTATATTTCTGAATTATTGAAGGAAATTAGTCGACTGTTCTACATATCATGGTTGATAAATATTCAGGATGCAGTAATTATAAAGTTTTTATTAGTGCTGACATTTCAACCCAAACATGTGCGTCATCATCAGAGCGTGTTTCGAGCACTGAAGGTATTCAAATACTCAACTTATACTCAACAGTAGTTGAATACCTTCAGTGCTCGAAACACGCCCTGATGATGACCCACATGTTTGGGTTGAAACTAATAAAATCTTTATAATAATTGCGTCCTGAATATTTATCACCCATGTTAAACAAAATTTCCTTTATAAAACATGTATATAGGTATGTATGTAAATATTTATTCACATTTATTATATGTTTTATTTGGTTTGTAGTTGAGAACAGGGGTCTCCAACCCATGGCATAAGGCCGGAAATAAATTTAATTTTTTTTTTCTCAATTTATTTTACTCAAAATAACATTTTCAAGTTATCTTTCAAGCTCAAAATCAATTTTGAGAATTTTAAATTGAATTAAAAATTTAACTGAATAAATTTTGAAAAATTTAAATTCAGCCTCAATTAAAAAATTACTTTTTTTTTTTAAATAAATGATTAATTTTTTGTAAGCTGATTTTCTTTCATATAGATTAGGTTAATCGTGGTTCATTTTAAATTAGAATTAAATTCTTCTAACTTTGCTGCACGTGATGCCTAAATTCAGAAGCTATAACCCTTAACAACAGTAAAGAAGCATTAATAATATAAATTAAACAAAAATAATGATTTTTGCATGTTGTGTGTATAATTCTACACTTTTTAGGTTTTTTCTGCACAATTTTGTATATTTTCAGATTTTTTACTGCACGAAAATCTGGTCTCTAGTTATAACTAAAAAAATTCCATACGCACAGCCTTATTTCTTCAAAATGGAGGTAAAGAATTAAAAATAAAACGTTAATGTTTTTCTAATTCAGCCATCATCGCGACAGAAAAGAAAAGAAACTGAAGATCACATCCAAGACCCTCTTTTTAAAATATTCTTCTTTAACAACCTTGTGAATATCGCAACCCTGTGGTTTTTTAACTTCAAGTAATAAATTTCAACCCTTGATAAATTTAGTTTTGGGTCTGAATTCAAGAGTTTTGTTCCAATACTATTAAAAAAACCAAAACATTTGTTGAAGCATATAGTGAAAAAAATTGTTTGACTGAACCAATCTTCTCTTCAATTATTCACTACAGTCAACCGTCAATACATCAAGACATTTGTTGTGCTACGAAAAATTCTTGTTGAACACGCTATCTTATTTGATAAGTCCATCTAAGAAATGTTTAGGTATCATTCCTTCTTTTTTGTACTCTGTCAAATAATATATTTTACAATATTTATCCAATTCTTCTTCGGTGCATTCTATTTATTTTCAATTTTATTTATTATCAGCCAATTTTACACCAATTTTAAAAAATTTTTGTCAACTTAATGACTGCACATCTAATTACTACGTTTCAGCTCGTTGAGCCATTTTCAAGTATAAAATTTTTTTTACAATTTACAGTTATATTTAAAACATTACATACTTCAACATATAGAGATTCATTTTAAATACTTAAATACCAATCATGCACCTGTCCTTTTCACTTATGCGAATTGCATGCATCTGCTCATAATAAAATAAATAGTCTCCCCCTACTCCTTTAAGAATAACCAGTCACTGAATAGAAATGAGACTGATGACATGTCGGTGACACATGATAAGGTAATTTTAACTTAATTGAATCATTTAATAAGAAATAATTGAGTAATAACAATGTTATAAAATAATTAAAGGCGGACATGGAAAAAATTATTATGAGTAGACGCATGCAATTCGCATAAGTGAAAAGGACAGGTACATGATTGGTATTTAGGTATATAAAAAGAATCTCTATATGTTGAAGTATGTAATGTTTTAAATATGTTTGTTAATTGTAAAAAATTTTTTAGACTTTAAAATGGCTCAAGGAGCCGAAACGTCGTAATTAGATGTGTAGTCATTAAGTTGACAAAAATGTTTTGAAAATTGGTGTAAATTTGGCTGATAATAAATAAACTTGAAAATATATTTTACCATTTGCATAATTATTGACTAAATTAATATTTTCACTATTAAATATTGCTTTTATTTCATTAATAAAATTCAGATATAAAGATTCCATACAAAAAGAGAACAGTGGATAAATGGCTATTTCACAAAATATATTAATATAATGTAAATGCTTTGGATGTCATTGAGTAGTGTGATCTTGTGTTTGTTTTTCTTTTCTGTCAGGACGATGCCTGAACTGGGGAAATCTTAACGGATATTTTATTCTTCATCTACATTTTGGAGACGTAAGGCTGTGGTTTTTCCAAACATAATCTAACATTGAATTTCTGTCTTTAGCTGAGTTTTTTACTCATTTAAGTTTATATATTTGTCTTTATTCATTTGAATCGGTAACCTCTCTTGAACTGATTCAGTCTATTCATAGTTGGGCATAATCATAATCCATGATTACGATTACAGTGATTACACAAATAGAATAGAAGCGTAATCAGGTTTCTTATTACGGTTATAATCAGATTTTTTTGTCACATTTTTGCTATATTTATAATAATATTGGTCATTTTATTCTCAGTTGACTTAATATTTTTAGCTGATATCCTCTTAACCCGATTTTATATCTTATATTTATAAGATAACAGTTATAATATCAATATCATAATATAATAGTTATAAACTAAACTAAAATTGTCATTAAAAACTACGAAATATAAACTAAACTAAAATTATTATTAAAACTACGAAATTGGAGAGAAGAAATAAGGAAATGGTACACAATAATTCTTTAAAAAGTCTTCTATTGTTAGTTGATTTAGTAATGGGAGTACATTTAAACTTTTAACAATTATTTATTTCCTTATTCTAAAATTAGACAAGACATTTAAGGTTCAAGACAACAAATTTAAGGTTTTGGGCAAAAGCCCTTTTTGTTTGTATAGTATATCCATACAGTTGAAGATTTATGCCACGACAATGTTCTAAATTGATAACTGAAAATATATATTAATTCTGCCAAACTTTGTAATAAATATCCACAATTTCAACAATATATTGCCATATATAATTTGTTATATATTTTTAACCATTTCATTTCATTTACAAATCTACTTCAGCTGAATTAATATTTTTTGCTAACATATTTTCTAAAAAATCAGTAAAATGTAAATTGGACAGTAAATTTAAAAGTAAATACCGAAAATATAAAAAAGGTAATTAATACTTAAGTTCTAACCTCACCTTTTGCTATTGTATTGTAATAACAACACGTGTTTCTAAGTGTGACTCAGTCTTTCTAATATATCCATATTAGAATGATTACAACTGAGAATATAATATTCTCAGTTGTAATCATTGATTACGATTTTGCCCAACTCTGATTTTAATATATTCTTTTGTTAGCGATAGTATTCTTTCTTTTTTTTAATATATATTACTAATTTTTCTGATTATTTATATTAATATTGTATTTTTGTAGGTTTATGAACGACTGATGGAAGCTTTCAACTTACCTGATGCCACTGCTAATTTCAACGAGGATAGTATCCTACTGCAATCCAAGTTGTAAGGTGCTTCGAGTCACATTGGTAATCATCGAAACGGCAATAGTTACATATTTTGTTTAAATATCTCAGATATATATATACAAGCTCCCATGAATTATTGCCGTTCTCTAAGGTTTATGCCAAGCATAAGCTTATTAAACAGCGACCCTTCATAAATGGGCAAATGATTATATTTTTTTAATTTAGTTTACTTTTTACATGCTAGAATAATGTTTACTTAAGAGCAGGGATCGAGAAAGTAAAAAGTTATTTTATATTTATGATTCATTTTGATTTTGTTTCAATTATTATTTTTCATTATTGATCTATTTCAAGAATGATACTTTCTGCGCATAATGAAAAAAGAATAGGAAAAGAATCATTACAAAGGTCGAAATGTCAAAATTATTATTTTTTTTTAAATACCATAGTCAAAAAATAAATAAATACATTAACTTAAACAAAAAAAGAACAACTAGTTTTTATAATATTTATTCATTATATTTTAAAAAATTTGAAAGAAAATTATGACTTTTATAATTAAATTACTCTTCACACAAGCATTTATTATCATAAAAAAAGTTCCTCAGTAACTGTTATTAATCGGGAAGTATTTTCTTTCTAAATACTTGATTTTTCTTTAGTAACATTAATCTAATGAAATAAATAAAAAAAATGTATTCAATTTAACTTCAAATTGCATTCATCTAATATTAAATTCAAATAAACCTCTTAGTTTTATTCATGAGTAACATTAGTCTTGATAAAACAGCTACCATTTTTCTAAAAAGTATCGATATTTGATTTTTTAAACATAAATTTATGCCATCAGTTTATGGTAACTGATTTTTTCATGAGTGATAAATATTTAGGACGCATTCATTATATAAATTTTTTAATTGTGCCAACGTTTCAACCCAAACATGTGGGTCATCCTCATTGCGTGGTTCGAGCACTGAAGGCTTTCATGTACTGATATAAAAAAGAATCTTTAATTTTTTTTTTTTTTAATAACACAAATGAAGTTAAAATTAACAAAAACTCATTTATAAATTTAACAACACCACAATCCGTTTCAAAAAATCCAACCTGCCCATAAAAGATACTATATTTCTCATAAAATCAATAAAAAACAAGATTATTACTTCCGAAAATACCTTTGAAAATAATTTCTCAAATGAACATATGTTACTCCTCAAAAATTCAATTAATAACATTTACCACACATGTAAATATCTAACAAAGACAATTTTAAAGAAAAAATTCATCCAACTTCAAATATCCTCGGATTTAAATAAAGTTTACCCCCGTGGCAATATGGATTGGAGCAACATTTCTTCCGTTGAATTCCCGCTTCACGTAAACAATATCCTTATTCTCGGCCCATATTTCAACACTCCTTAATCCACCAACCTTGTCCCAGCTGAGTACATGAAAGTCTTCAGTGCTCAAATCATGCCCTGAGGATGACTCACATGTTTAGGTTCAAACGTTGGCACAAATAAAAAATTTTTATAATGACTGCGTCCTGAATATTTATCACCCATGATATGCAGAACAGTCGACTTGCTTCCTTCAGTAACTGTTTTTTATGTATTATAATTAATGTAAACCAGATCCTGTTTTATATAACTTGTATAAATAACTATCATTTAATGAAATCACTAATTTCAACTCCAGTACAGACTTATTTTTATTATTACAGTATTAGGAAATAAAATTTTAATTTGAGATGTTCGAGATTTAAATTGGACCAAGTCCATAAATTATAGTTTCGAGATAACGTAAATTGGAATTTATTAACAATAATTGAATCCTTACTTTTTATTATTGTAGTGAAAAGTGAACTTAGATATTATATAAATAAATAAATATTTGATAATTCATAAATAATAATTAAAGTGGCTTGATCGATATTTGTCATGAAATCATATGAGAGGTTTTCTGGAATGAAGACTATTATTAGCTTCAAAAAATGTTTTTGATGTTTAAATTATTGAATCATCAGTGATAATTTTCTTTGAAATGTTATTATTATAAGTTATCTAAATATTTCTAACAGTTCTATCCCTGCTCTAAAGTTCAGTATTTATGTCCATTACATACGTATTTTCATAATATAAATCTTGCTCTTTAGTTTTATCTATTACTGATATGTTTATTATAGAACGCGTTAACAATCAGAATCCTGTACAATTTATAGAATATCAGATCAAATAAATTTTCCAATCGGTTTCTAAACTAAGAACTTTACCTAATCCGTACTCGTTCATGTGATAAAATGTGGCTGTATTTTTGGAAACAAGAGGTATTGATTTGAAAATAATCTTAATTTGTAACAATAGTTTTTTTTGTTTTTTTAAGATTCACATTTAAATTGTTTATCTTTATATAGAGTCTGATTAATCGAATGAGTATTTCTTATTATTATAACAGTATTTACGAGTTTAAATTACTTCTCGGAGAGGAAAGCCATTTTAACTTGCAGTGCATTACAGCATAGCGGTCCAAGATCCGTTTCTACTCAAAGTTGGGAAGGAAAAAGGAGTTATCCCACGCGTTAACTACCTATTATAGCCAGGATGAGAAGGGCAAAATCTATTTTGTGTGTCCATGACACAATGCTCAACTATCATTGTCTCTGCAATATTTTAATTTTCCCCCTGAAGTTTATTTATTTTCCATTATTTTATTTTTGTTAAAAGTGTTTGATTTATAAATTCCTTATTAATCTGGGACTTTAAGCTGTTCGGGTTAAAACAACTTAATCTATGAAATTAGACCCTCAGATCTTTGTCCAGGAATAAAAAAAGGTATATTCTAAATTTAAAAAGTCCAGCCAAATCTGGTTCAACCTCTTATTTATTAAAATTTTCTTCCTTGAGCATGATCAAAGTCATTATTTTTTAACACTAAATGGCTTTCCAGATTAATGGGGTTTTATTCTAATTATTTTACAATATGAAATTCGGATAACAGAAAAAAACAATATAGCTATTATTAATCCAATACTGGCGTCCATTCATGTTCAATTATCTTGAATAACAAAGCATTCCAAGTGTTTTTAATGTTAAAATGTGGAATAAAATATTTTTATCGCTATATTTTGTAGTAATTTGAATTTTTTTATTGTAACTTTGTAGATTTTTTTGTTTTTTTTTTAAACTATGTTTTTCAAAAAAATATTAGTGTCCCTTATCTTAGTAATTTGTATTGATTTATCTGCTGATTTAGTAATTTCAATCTGCTTTATTTTTTGCTTCTTGCACTTTGAAAATACGATCTCTGTATTTTTTTTATTATTATTTAACTTTACTAAATTCAGTATGAAAAGAATGACTTAGACAGTATTAAATATTCAGATCTTTTGGAACAATGATGAATTAATTATATGTTTTATCATAAAATCTTATGTTTAATGTTAACGATAACTATTTATTTATTTGGAAACTTGTCATTCCAAATTTAGTCATCTACTAGTCTATGTTATTTGAAAGTGAAATGTATAAAAATAATTTGTAATTTGTGTTAAAGAAAAAAAAAAGAAATAATCATTGTATTTTCTGATTATCATCAGAATTTCTTAAACGTTTAATTTAATTTTTTTGAGGATTTTGCTCATCAGAGGCCGGATTTTTATGCAGTAAAAATACAAACTCATTTTTGGAAATTTTTTTTTAAACCAAAAATATTTTAAGAATATTCTATATATATTTAGAAAATATATTTGCAAATTAATTAAAGTGAACAAAAAAAACTAAAACCATTGATTCAATTTAAATGTATCAATTTTCTTCATGATTGTTTTTCTGTTCTAATATAGTTAAAACAATAATAATAACATTTTTCTAATTTAAAAAAAATATACATTTATATAAAACTTTTTAAAAAATTGGCAAATTAAACGTTATTTGAATGAAAATCTGGTCTGCTGATATCTAGTTCTTCGTTTACTTATTCCTGTATTGATTGCCATATTGTTTGTATGTCTGCTTCAAATTGAAATAATGCATCTTTTATTTATCAATGTGATTATATTTATTTCACATTTATATTTATTTATTTGAATTATGATTTTAGAAAATGCCATATACGTAATTTTGTTTGATTATCTATGTTTTTGTATCGTCATATTAAGTATATATGTTTGTCTCAGAATTCATGATTATCTATTTAAAAAAAAAAAAAAAAATACCAAAAATAATTTACGATTAATATTATATATACCTATGTGCCTTTTAAATTTGAATGTAATCAGACCATTTCATCATAATTGTTACCTTTTTAGATGTGTATATTTTATGCAACAAACAAATTTTTACATCTTAATAAAAATTATTTTATGATAATATCTGTTGAATTAATGTTCCCTTTCCTCTTCCAGTGAAAGTTTATTGGGTGACCTTGAACTGTGGGATCTATTATGCTATTAGTGATAACAGCCTAATCTTTTTATCTGGCTTAACTAATGCCAATAAATATGTTTTATCTTTATTATCCTGTTTGAAAAAAATATAAAAACATAGTATAGATATAGTTTCATTATTTTTTAAAACATGGCCGAAGGTGATTGTTATTTTATTGGAGTCGATGTCGGGACAGGAAGTGTTCGTGCCGCTCTTGTAAATATCAGCGGTAAAATATTAGCAGTGAAGGTAAAACCGATCAAGACTTGGAATCCAAAGCCGGATTTTTATCAGCAATCTTCAGAAGATATTTGGGAAAGTTGTTGTGAGGTTATAAGGGTGAGTAAAAAGTAGGTTATTATCTACTTAGGTTATTACGAATTGCCTACTTCTCTTCAAAAGTTTATTTTTTGTTATAATATATAAAACAAAACATAATAACATACATAATTAAAATTAAACTTGGGTGTATATATAAATACATCCATACAGTCACAATAACAATATGAATGACAATATTTTTTTAAATTTATTGTTAGAAAATAATAAAAATATATACCATTCAACTATAATTTTCTTTCAGTTCTAAATTATTTACTAGTTTTAATAGATAGTTTTCACTTTAGTCTTACAAGTTAATCGAATGTGTGGTTAAACAAACAAATTTTCTTAGTAATATTTGTATAAAACTAGTGATAATTCATTTTAATTTGATTTTTTTTTCTTATGAACAAATAAAAAAAAAAAATTGAATGCAGGAAGGTTTCCAGACATTAAAAAAAAATGCAGTGGAATTAATACACCTTTATTTTCAAAAATGACTTTTGACCTCATTCTTAAAGCTATTGCAAGTAATTTTTAGAAATTAAAATTTGTAATATAACTTATAAGGAAAGAAATGGAATTGAATCTCTATGATGTTTAATAATAATAATAATAATAAAAAAAATTGGAGAGAAGTTAGTTGGAGTGATCAGTCAATGAAAGAAAAGTAAAAATAAATACATTATATTTAATTTTGTCCTCTCTGCTGACGTTTTGATCTAAGTTTCGCACAATCATCAGGGCTAATCATATTAATAAATATCTAATCTAAAAACCAATCAAAAATTGGTACCAATCGTGGAGATTCATGAATGGATCATTGAATTTGCAGTATAACGACCCAAGTAATAATGAGATTTCACTCTAATTTATCTTTATAATCTTAAATTATAATCTTTATGAATTGTACGATATTATAGTTAAGTTTATTAATTTGATTAGTTTTGCTGTCAACATAAAATGTCAGAATTTTAAAAAGGCTTGTACAATATTTTATATAAAACTAGTGACAATTCATTTTAATTTGATTTTTTTTTCTTATGAACAAATAAAAAAAAAAAAAAAAATTGAATGAAGGTTTCCAGACATTAAAAAAAATGCAGTGGAATCAATACACCTTTATTTTCAAAAATGACTTTTGATCTCATTCTTAAAGATATTGCCAGTAATTTTTAGAAATTTGTAATATAACTTATAAGGAAAGAAATGGGATTGAATCTCTATGGCATTTTATAATAAAAATGAAAGCAAAAATAAATAAATTATATTTATTTTTGTCCTCTGTGCTGACGTTCGGTCTAAGTTTCACACCATCATCAGGGCTAATCATATTAATATATATCATCTTATCTAAAAACCAATCAAAGATTGGTATTAGGGTTAGATTCATGAATGGATCATTGAATTTGGAGTATAACAATTCCAAGTAATAATGAGATTTCACTGTAATTTATCTTTACAATCTTAAATTATAATCTTTATGAATTTTATGATATTACAGTTAAGTTTATTAATTTGATTAGTTTTGCTGTCAACATAAAATGTCAGAATTTTAAAAAGGCCTGTACAATATTTTGTATAAAACTAGTGATAATTCATTTTAATTTGATTTTTTTTTCTTATGAACATATAAAACGTTCGGTCTAAGTTTCACACCAACATCAGGGCTAATCATATTAATATATATCATCTTATCTAAAAACCAATCAAAGATTGGTATTAGGGCTAGATTCATGAGTGGATCATTGAATTTGCAGTTTAATGATCCGAGTAATAACAAGATTTCACTGTAATTTATCTTTACAATCTTAAATTATAATCTTTATAAATTTTACGATATTACAGTTGTTTATTAATTTCATTAGTTTTGCTGTCAACATAAAATGTCAGAATTTTTAAAAGGCTTGTAAAATATTTTGTTTAATTTGGGGAAAAATTCACAGGAAGTAAAAAAGTCTGTGCCAAAAGAAAAAATTAAAGGAATCGGTTTTGATGCTACTTGTTCCTTAGTTGCTGTAGATGGCGCTGGTTTCTCTGTTTCAATTAGTCCGGACGGTGAGTTTTTTTTTTTTTCTATTTATTTATATATTTATAATACACTTAGATCCACATTTTTATTTATTTTTCTTTCCCTTTTAGGAAATCCAGAACAGAATATTGTTTTATGGATGGACCATAGAGCAGAGAAGGAGGCAAACTTTATTAATTCATTAGGTCATAATATTCTGAAAAATGTAGGAGGTAAAATATCACTGGAAATGGAACTTCCAAAGGTGATGTGGCTGAAAGAAAATTTGAATTCACAGTGTTGGAAAAAGACTGACAAATTTTTCGACTTACCCGATTTTCTAACTTGGAAAGCTACTGGTTGTGATACTAGGTGAGGAGCTCGAACTAGAAGATGCATTCCAATTTTTAAATTGATATAAATATAAAATCTTTTCAATTTATAGGTCTTTATGTTCAGTCACTTGCAAGTGGTTATATGAGGTGAGCTCTGATGGACAGGGTGGATGGAATAAAATTTTTTTAGAACAGATCGGTTTAGATGAACTAACAGAAAATAACTTTATCAAGATAGGTAAGCTTTTATTTTACTTTTCATAAATTAAAAACTAATTTAATCATTACTGTACTTAGCCAGTTAGTAAAGGCCTTCCCCTCTTTTCTACAGCTCAGCCTTAGTCAAGGTATAAATTTTTAATATAAAAATCTGGTGTGCGCAACACACAACTTTCACTTACCGCTCTACTTCGAATAGAAATTATTTTCTGGCCATGTTTGGATATTACAATATTTTCGAAGTGCATTTTAAACGGAGCTAAAGCTTAAAGCTTACAGATTACAAATCATTAAAACCATTGAAATTACAAAAAGTCTATAAAGAATGTTGAAATTGGAGTTAGTCATTCTGTCAACTGAAAAGCTCATATATGCCTAGAGAGATTTGAAAGTATTTATTAATATTTAACCTATAAATGATTATCAACTGTAGGACTGTAAGTTATTAAACTTTTATTTTCCATTGTAAAGTTTACTAAAATGAAATTACAAGATTTTCATTGCCTGCCATGGATAGGTCAAAAGTTGTCACACTAATTGTAAGTGGATAATGTCGGATTTCACTAAGGAAAAATTCATCAAATTATTCACTAATTTAATTTTCTAAAAGGTTACTTGATGATTTTTTTGTAATAAACGGCCAATAGATACCTAATTATTTAATTATATCTAAAGTTATTAAACTACAGTAAATGTATTTAAGGTTATAAACATATCCATGAAATATATTTATATTTCACTTCTTTCACACAAGTACAATGAAATAGTATTTTAAACAATGGCATTAACTAGATTCGGTGGATTTTAAATACTTTTTTTACTTTACTTAGAAAAAATTTAAAAGTTTACATTTAGTAAGAAAATTTCATTTAATTTTCTTGGAAACATGTGATTTAAGTTAAATAATGTTAGTTTTCTGAAATTATTATTTATATTTTTTCATCACTCTCCGTTACCTTATACAACTTTATTTATTTTACATTATTTTTTCTGAAATTCTCCGCTTTCCAAAGAATATTATAGGTATACCTTTGCGAGACTTGGTTATTTGGACTCAGGGGACCTCAAAACGTGTATTTCCGTTGAAAATTCAGATTCAAAAATTTTCACGGTTGCAATACTTTCCCTTACTATATATAACATTTATAGGTAAGTGAAAGTAAAAAAAAAAATAGTACTTTACTAATGAATTAATCGTTATTAATTAATAAAGATTATTTGATGAATCAACAGGTCTAGAAGACTTACCTATGACCCACTACTACTGGTCCTAAAAACTATGAATAAAAATATATATTGAATAAAATAAAGTTATCTATTTTTAAGGAAAAATTTCCTTGTAAGTTTGATGAATGTAGGAAATCTCCAACAGCTGCTATTGAGAACTGCATTCTGCCATTAAAAAAAATTTCAAAAGTGTTTCGCAACATACTTGCTGCATTTTTACCAGTATATTTCACTCTCCAATACTGTCAACTCCAAATTATCTGTGGGATTGAGTTGTATTTTTGTCGCAGATAATTACATGTTCCCACAATTTAGTCTTATTCTTTACCATCACCCAGATTATCTCCTTCTTAATTGTTTTAGAAATGACTGTACATATATAAACTATTGTCAGTAATAAAGAGAAGAATAGTTGGGGTGGTCAGTCAAAAAAGAAGGCAAAAATAAATGATAATATTTATTTTTACATATGCCGACGTTTCGACCTGAAGTTCAGGCCTTCATCAGGGCTAAGAAAATAACCAGATAACTAGGTATGAGAAACATAAGTAGTGATGGTAAAAGAAAAAAAAAAAAAAAAATGAAAAAAAAAAGTTTTACATTTTATTCTAAGATTTCCATTGTAACACTTATGTCACCCTTTTTGATTATGCCTACTTCATCATTCCACACTTTGTAACGGTTATTATTATTTATCTCTTAGTTCTTAGTCATTATTCTAACAATTTCATTTCACTTTATATTTTTTTTTTTCTTTATTTCTTTTTTTTTTTTCTTTTACCATCACTACTTATGTTTCTCATACCTTGTTATCTGGTTATTTTCTTAGCCCTGATGAAAGCCTGAACTTCAGGTCGAAACGTCGGCATATGTAAAAATAAATATTATCATTTATTTTTGCCTTCTTTTTTGACTGACCACCCTAACTATTCTTCTCTTCATTATCCACGACAGTCAACCATTTACCAATTATATATTGTCAGTAATATGTAGTGCTTCCGTATATAATCTTTTATTTTAATTGTATTTAAGGAAATGTAATTAAACAACCCGGAGAGCGTTGCGGAACTGGACTTAAGGCTGACGTAGCTGAAGTTTTGGATTTGTTGGAAGGAACTGCCGTGGCTACATCCATTATCGATGCACACGCTGGGGGTCTGGGACTCATCGGCTGCCATGCACCATCCATCCCGCAATCAATCACATCTAGGCTGCGTATGATATTTAATTTAACAGATATAAAGCCAATATTTGTCTTCTTTCATAAACAGAGACAAGAGAATTGCATATTTACTTTTCCTTGTGAATGCTTTTTGTTGAAATAATTTTTAATTTAAAATTAAGAGGATGGCAACTAATTAGGATTTACAGTCTTTATATGGTTTATTTGGCTTGCAGACCAATCGACCTAAGCATTTAGATTATTATCAGGACTAAAAATTTAAAAAACTATACATCTGGAGTAAATAAAGGAATGAAAAGTAAACAAAAGATAATGGAATATGAACATAATAGTACACCAAAAAAAATTATATAAATAAAACAAGCAGATAAATAGTATAAATAAATTGGCAATAATAATCTATATTAATAAAAAGGTAAATGTTTGTTTGTTCAAAACCGCTAATCTCCTAAAATTCATCACTGATTGCTTTGAAATATTGTTATAATGTTTCTATCACATTCAGGATTGTTTTTATATACATTTAATTAATCTCCGGTCTTTTGTTTCGGAAAGGCGGCCAAAAAGCCTGTGTCGCTATAGACTGTAGTGCCTAAATGATAGTAACAATTTTAATTAAACTTTGCTAAAGTCTTCTCCTTGAAGCCCTTTTAATTTATGTATGTAACATCCTTTCCCGAAAAGAGTAAGAAAAAAAGTTACCATGGGTTCAAAACTATATTTGCGAATAACCCAAAAAGTAGACAATTTTTGTTTGATTATACCCATCATTATTGAAAAGCTTCCTTGACTCCTGCAAATAAAAAGAAAAATCAGTAAAATCGGTTTTGGTGCAGAGATATAATGCTTTAAACATTTAGTAATTATTCCTGGGAGATTGCCTCTGAAAAAAAAAAAAACTGAAAAAAACTGATTGCCTCTTATATAGACAATTATATGTTGGTAATTCTAGAGTTGGAAAATCAGACAATGTCTACATCTCTACAAAGAATGGAATAACAAAACACACGAATCGCATACCCACAAGTATTTTTACATAAAATATTTTAGAAACATCTGATTTCTTGTCTATTTATTTTTTTATTTAAACAGAATGAGCCACAGCAACGCCTGGCCGGATATAGCTAGTTATTAATATAAATAAATAATAAGTATGCATAAGACAATAGGGCTAAGAATAAATGAGGTAAATATTTTAAATTATAAAAAATCATTGGAATATAATAGAAAACGTTACATGGTAGTAAGATTTAGTGACTTAAAAGAATGTGCATAGGTATTCGGATAAACAGATGGAAACACAAGTATGAAAACAAAAATTAATAATAAAAGTATCTTAACAATTACCAATGGTTACTGGCTAGACCTACAACAAGAATTGAGTAAGCAGTAAGATATGAATTTGTATGGGAGTGTGATAACTGTCATCTAACGGCTATTTTAAATATATATATATATATATATATATATATATATATATATATATATATATATATATATATATATATATATATATATATATATATATCAAAATCAAGTAATAAGTAAGTCATGATAGTCGAGCGGGTTAAAATTTATTTCTTGGCAAACCCACAGAATGAATCTTGAACTTCCCACTTTGGTTTATAGGTTTGGTTGTACCTCTAGGACTACCCCCTGTAGGCCAGAAATGGTGAGGTAGGGGGTAATGGTTATCTTGGAATAAATAGGAGGGGGAGGGGAATACAGAAACAAATACGAGGAGTACAAATTAATAACTAATGATGAAATTAAGAATTTTAAATAAAAATGACAGGATAATAAATAAAAAGAGAACATTTCAAAAAGATCTTAGATTATGTTTAACTTATATACAATGGATGATTTATATATTATTATATTTTTAATATTATATAAAATATTTTAATTTTTAGCACTGATAACACACATGCTTGGGTTGAAATATCACATAGCCAAATAAATACTGATTATTTTTCTTCCTCTTAATTTAAAAATACCAATTAACTATATAGCCATATATTACACCAATTAATTTTGACATTAATCTGTTCATATAATTGTGGACTGATAGTTTACTGTAGTGAATAATTAAAGAGAAGATTGGTTGGAGTGATCAATGAAAAAAATTGTAAAAATAAATAAGTATATTTATTTCTATTTTTTCCGACGTTTCAGCCCAAAGTTAAGGCCTTCATCAGGGCTAAAAACGTTTATTCTACTTATATTATATATATTACTTTAAGTTTATTCTATCTACATTTTTTAGACTATACCTTTCACCTTCATATTAATTTTTCTTTTAAATTTTTTTTTAATTGCCTGATTGTATATAGGTATGACTGTATTTTTATGTTTTTAATTTACTTATATTTAGGTTATTTTATTTTTTTATTGCATATAGTTTTTATTTATTATTATTTAGATATTATTTTGCTTTTGTTAATTTTTTTTTTGTATATACGGTGTGAATGTGTTCATTTATCAATATAATTATTGTCCCCGTGACAGAATGTTATATGTCTAAATAAATAAAAAAAAAATTAAAAAAAATGTTAATAGTTTCTGATATCTATTGTTATCTGTTCTTTTCTTAGCCCTGATGAAAGCCTGAGCTTTGGGCCTAAATTTCAGCAAAAATAAAAATAAATATACTTATTTATGTTTACATTTTTTTTTTACTGATCACTGCAACCAATATTCTCTTCAATTATTCATATAATTGTTCATTAACATCTATTAATTATCCAACAGCTCTGATTTGTGGAACATCAACCTGTCATATGGCGGTTAGTAAGGAGGCAGTTTTCGTTAATGGAGTTTGGGGCCCATATTGGAGTGCAATGGTGCCCGGATTGTGGCTCAACGAAGCTGGTCAGAGTGCTTCTGGGTGCCTACTAGACCATATCATATCGACGCATCCAGCTAGTTCTCAAATAAAATTAGAAAAAGGTAAAATTTATATAAAATTAAGTATTAGTTACTTTTGACTTAAGGACTAAGGTTTTGAAGTTTTTTTTTTTTTTTGTTTATGGAACAATTTTGATTTAACCATTCTTATATGTATATTTAAGCCATATGCGGATGATGTGGACATCGTTGGGCGGTCGTTGCAATCTGTGAGAGAGGGATTTTTAGCTTTGTTGGAGGCCGCCAGAGCACTTACGTTAGACGTTAATGAAGGCAAAACTAAATATATGGCCACAGGAGAAGTCCCTCGACCAGGCAATACCATAAATATTGACCCCTTTAACTTTGAGAAAGTAGCGCAGTTTAAGTATTTGGGGTCACTGGTAACACAAGACAATGCACCCGAGGTCGAGGTCAAGAAAAGAATATTTATGGCTAACAAATGTTACTTAGCCCTTCGCAATGAATTTCTCGCCTTTTATCCTGGCATAACAAGCTACATTATAAAACACTAATCCGTCCAGTCCTGCTCTTTGCTTCAGAAACATGGACGACGACTAAAAAATTGAGCAAGACCGCCTAATCTTTGAGAGAAAAATTCCTTGAAGAATATTTGGAGGAGTACAGTCTGATGGAAATTGGAGAAGACGGACCAATGGCGAGATTTGCTCAACTTTTAATGATCAGGATGTCGTTCTGAGGATGAAGCTCGGAAGATCGAGATGGGCTGGTCATGTGGCAAGGATGGAGAATGAAGCAATCCCTAGGATGATCCTGACAGAACCTCTCTACGGCACAAGAGGAAGAGGGAGGCCAAAACTAAGATGGTCAGACGGTGCGACAAGAGATTCAAGGGATGTCCTGGGAGTCAGGAGCTGGATGATGGCCGCACAGAACAGAGATGACTGGAGGAAGCTAGTGGAGGAGGCCAAGACTCACCACCCAGTTGTAGCACCATGATAATAATAATAATATATGTATATTTAATACATATTATAGTAGCCACTGCAGTTATAGTACCCACATCCAAGCAGCATATCTCTGTTATCACGATTCATGAAATAATTCAGCATAATGTTAGGCTATTAGACCTTCTGACAGTCCTTTTTATCAATGACCTTTAATTAATTAATTAATCACTGTTTTCTCAAAGAAAATTTTGTCTACTTTACAATAGTCTATTTAGAATATAATTATTTTAAAGAGTTTTTGAGCTATTCTTTCTTATTCGAGAAAAAACGTGACGACCTTAAGAAAAACACTAAATTGGTCTGAAATCCTTTTTGTTCGGTCCCATACATCAAATAAACTTTTTTGTTGGAAATTTCGTCTAGAATCATTCCCCCTCTCCTCCCTTGAGGTTGGCGGTTAAGAACTGAGATAGTCTGTATATAAATATATCATTTCCAAGTTAAATTAAACTTTTTTTATTTCAATTTCAACTTTGTATTTATTTTAACTTTTTGATATAAGAGATAATTGACTATTGTATAGAAAAAATCAGAGATATTCAAATAAATTGAAAGTTGAGTTTGAAATGGACAATGTTGAATTTTGTTTTAAAAAAGGTTGAATATGACTTGGAAATAATATATTAATTTATCATATGTATTATTTAAAAAAAAACATGAAATAGCAAAACCCCTACATTCTTTGTACTAGACATCCCCCATATTTATTCCTTTAGGTGACATTGTGTTAGGGAATAAGAAGGAATATATAGGAATGTGAGGTTGCACGATGAATTGTACTCAATTATGCAGTGGACAAATTATTCAAGGAAAATTCTCACATCAAACAATAAACAAGGAAGATAAACAATTGATGAAGAAAGCTGGAAAAAGGACAGAGCAGGTAGCTAGCGACAGCTGGCAGAAGGACGCCACGGAGAGAACTTACTTGAGGCTTGGGCATGGAGGCGAGAGGACGTCACCTGAGATGAGAGAGGCTTACTACATTGAAGACCAAGAATATCAAGCCTACAGTTATAAGACTTTAATATATTCACTTATTACAGTTGTAAAATAAATTGTTTTGTTAGACAGGAGTGAAAAGCCATTTATTTATTTATTTGTCCCATAGGCCTCACAATTGAAGAATAATAAACCAGGTGAGTCAATTCATTCAAAGTGTATTTACTAAGTCCCACATTTCAAATATATATTCTTATTGTTTCTTGTCACTCAGTGTCACAAAAGGTATTAGATTTCCGAATTCCCAACAATAGTTAAACACCCTCAAAAGTCTATATCCAGTGCCGGGGTTTTGTTTTAATATTCACGAGTGTAAATAACCTAGCTCCCCGATATATATAAAAGCAGAAGTCTATTCGCCTATTCCCGCCAAAACAAATTATTTACAATTAAACTTGTAGTAGGTTATTTACATCTTATGCTTCTGACTTTTCCAAAGCCTTTGATTCAGTTTACCGCAATATTTTATTTTCAAAAATTCCCATATTCAAACATATTCTATTTCATATATACAAAGTTATTTGTTTTCCTATTTATATTAATTTGTAGGTAAGCATATTGTCGATTATCTGAACACTCTTTTAAAAAAAATGGCTTCAAGGGATGGAAAACCTGTCGATACCCTCAGCAAGGATGTCCATGTGCTACCTGATTTTCATGGAAACCGTTCACCATTAGCTGACCCAACTATGAAAGGAATGGTAATTTAATTCTATTATTTATTATATCTATATAATAAATTTATACATTACTGATATCAATATTTTGTAATAAATTTTTAACTTCTCAGTTTGCTGGTATAACTCAAGGTTGCATCCTAAATCCTATCCTTTACACAGTTTATACAGCTGACATCCCAACCCACCCTGACACTGTCATCACCATGTATGCTGATGACACATGTATCCTATCTGTTAATAATGATCCATCAACTGCATCCCAAACTCTCCAATCACATATTCTCTCCAAACATACATAAAAACCTTGAAGAATGGTGTAAACACTTGAGAATTAAAATCAATCCCATCAAATTACCTTTACCCTCCGTCGCAAACCCATGACCTACTGTCCTACAGTATCCTTTAACAATTCTCTACTTATCTCAGTTGAACAAATCTGTTACCTAGGACTCCACCTGGACAAACCACTCACATGGAATCCTTATACAAGACTGAAACGACAAGAAACCGCTCGACGTTTCTGACCACTCCAGTATTTACTACACAAATGCTCTAAGCTTTAAATAAATTAGAAATGACTCATATATATATTACAGTAATAAGACCTATTTGGACTTACAGAATTGAGCTTTGGGGCTCCACTAAACCTAATTCCTCTTGCATCCAATCCTTACAATCCAAAAACCCTCAACGCTCCTTACCTTGTCACAAATAAAATCATCCATAATGACCTTAATGTTCCATATGTTTCCGATTTGGCCCAATTCAGATACCTATCCTTACATAACAAACTTCAGAAGCGTCCAAACCCTCTCGTTTCAAACCTTGCTTCCTCCTCAATCCCCGATAACAATCCGAGGCATCTGAAAAGAAGGTGGCCTCGTGATCTGCTTGTGTAAATTTATTATTTAAGTGCTTCCAGTGGTTAGTTTTTCAACAAGCGATTTCATGTTATTATACTCCTGAGTGCACATTTACTAGATGTTTTTTTTTTTATAATACAGTTGTAAAAAAATCAATGAATAAAAAACCTCTGCTTTGAATTTCTATATAATTACATGAAACTATTAACTTATGATATATTATATTACCATGATAATATAATAAAGCAGCCATAATGCCAAAGCCTGTAAGTAATATTTTATTAGAAAATATGGTTTTGATCTTCTCCATTCATTTTCACCCCACATATATTCAGAAGTACCAACCAGAAATGTAATTTAAAATATTATGTTTTTGTGTGTATAGTTTGTATTATTATTTTCTCTTAAGTATAATTTTAGTTTTTCCATTTACAGGCTTTTTCTGTGTGGCTGTCAATAAGTTATTATTATATTATGTGGTAAAATAACATTGGTGAAATTACTAATCCAATAATTTTATTTTGCAAAGCAAGAAAAATGTAATAACTTTAAACACTTTTTTTTTTAGGTTTGTGGGCTGACATTGTGTGCAGATGAAGAACAATTAGCCATCTTGTATTTAGCGACTGTTCAAGCCTTGGCGGTAAGATCAATATTTAATACTTATTTATTGATTTATCATATTATTGTATAGATTTGAGTATTTAAAAGTCATAATTACGTCTCCTCTTAACTCTATGTTTTGGTACAACGTAAGTATCGGCTAGGAAGAAGAGTATATAAATATATATATATATATATATATATATATATATATATATATATATATATATATATATATATATATTTAAATCTTACTTTCCTTTCCTTATACATGGTTTAAAAAATTTAATTGAATTTCATTACTGATGAAATGATATTTCTAAAATAAATAACAGAAACAAAATCTTAGATTGACTGCAAGGAATGAAATGAAGGTTTGATGGAACAAATGATTGATGAATTAAAGCCAGGGTAGAATACAAAATAAGTTTTATTCCGGGATTAGGTCCCTTAAAAATCTTAATAAATATAATACATCATTGGCTGAAAACTGTTTTATTAAAATTGACAAACTTAGCAAAAACCTTAAAGCACAATAAATATAATATAATAAAGAAGTAAAAGTATAGGACAAAAAAAGTATTTTTGATTTTTGTGATATTTTGGAATTTATTTTCATGAAATTTTTCAACTGAAGGCTTTTATAATTGGTACCTTTTACTTTACAACTTCTGTTAAAGAAATCCATTTCCATAATTAGTAAATTTTAAAACATGGTAATTATTGATTATATTCCTAATATGAGAGTCATGCAATTCCTTTGTTAGACATTATATCTGTAATTTAAATCTAATTACTGTTTATTTCTCATTTAACATAACTTTTTTAAAAGTATTTTATAAAAAAGTTAAAATTTTACAATAAACTCAGGACTTTTATTTTCCCCTTAAAAATTAATGACCGTTCCTTCCAACCCCTAATTTACACTACATATCTATCATTAACTTTTTCATACTATTTTATCTTCTTATTTTCTTGTTAATATATTCCACTGAATCTTTCTTATTGGTTGTTGTTATCTTATCTTTACTTAACCCTAGTGAAGGCCTAAAAAATCGGTACAAAGAAAATAAAACTTTCTTTTGCATACTTTCATCTTTGACTGTATCCCCAACCAACTTCCAACAAAATAATAATTACAAATTTAGAAAATAAATGTTAGATTATTATTGGAAAAATTCTAAACCACACAGTTTGGAATTTTTCCAATAATAACCTAACATTTATGTTATGTCTCTTGACTATTTTCTTATTAACTAGCTGATGTACCCTGATGGACATACAGACAGACAAAAAAAATTTTAAAAGGTCATTTGGTGTCTGTAATGTATGAAACGGAAAGATATCATGAAATGGGTTGATTCTATTCAATGTACAGACAAAACCTTTATTTTATTTATATAGATTTACAAGAAAATAGGTTTATTTTAAAGATATTTTGTATTTCATTTAATTATGAAAAATATCTTATTCAAACATAAGCACAAAATGTTTCCTTAGCCTTGAAATATTGAACTGTCAAGGCTCAGTAACTTTTCTGAAGCACTTACACAAATTATGTTTTGATAACAACTTGTTTATATTTATGATGGGGGAAAAAAAAAAGAAATGCTTATTAGATAAAATTGAGTGCTATTGATTTGTAGTAGCTTTTCAGATGAAATATAAGTATACAATACAGTTCCGGGATATATTGGCTCAAGTTAACAGTTATGGAATATACAAGATTTACAAACTCTTTTGAGAGATTTTATGATGTATATCATCTTTCTTGCAAGGCTCTTCGGATAGATCTAATAAACTTAATTTTAAATATTATGATTCCATTATTTCATTATATAACTTATTTTATCGGAAGTGGGGTGCATTTAAAACATATCACAAAACAAGTGAATGGATACTTCTCATTTGGACATTATTTAGAATTGGTAACATTACTCTTACCACTGCTGTCATCTGTTTGTCTTTATGTAAAAAGAAAGAAACATTCTAAAATGGTTCATGATATAAATTTAATAGGCGAAGCGTTAGGAATTCGTACAATTCCATCCACATACAATAGATTGCATTACCTCTTTGCAATTTTTTTAATTTTGGAAATTACTTACGAACTGAAGGAGGAAGGGTATCATATGATTATTTCTCTACCTATTTACACTTTTTACCTTTCGATGTGCCAGAAATGGCTCATGGTGTGGGAATTCACAAAACAGTTAGCTGTTCTTAGATTTTATTATAGACAGCTTTCGGAACACTTGAGCATCCAGTGGGTGGAAAAGTTAGTCGATTTTCATGAACTTCTCGGTTCCTGTTGTGAAACACTTTGCGAATGTTATGTTTATCAGATAACATTTTTTCATATCTATATTTTTATATATTCCATAGGCAACATATATTTGGTTATAGACTCTTACTCACGCGATGCAACTTTAGGCACTTATCATCACATTTATTTGATTTGGACAATTCTTTACTGGTGCTACGCATGGCTCGTTGTGTATTCCTGTGCCAAAACAAAATATATGGTAAGGCAATAAAGATTGCAGTAAAAATAATGAAAAAAAAAAACAATAACAGGAATTAATACATTATGGAAGAAAGTAATTGAATCATTTATTTCAGAAATGATACATGTGTTTTTATCGGTTTTGAGTTTAAGAGTTTTTATATATACTGATCATAGATGCACCTTTTAATGTAAAAAAATAAATTCATAATCATTTCATAAAACAATTAATTTAAAACATTTCAAGCAAAAAAGAAAAGTATAATCCTAAAACAAACAAAAAAATTTCTGTCAACTGTTTTTTTAGGTACCAAATCAATTTATTAGATTGATAGCTTTTTTTATTTATTTTAAGCTCTTCTACTAAAAGAGCTTTTGCAGTGGGTATTGCAATATACATCATATATTGTTTACAATACTTATACTGGAAGTAAAATAAAAGATTTAAACACAAAATTATGTATAAATAATTATCTTACATAATTTTAACAATAAAAAATGCTATCGCGGTGGCTCTACAACATGTGAGAAATTTGTCAGTTGTAAATATGGGTGTGGTATCAGATTGTTTGAGCACCTTCAAAGCCATGAACAACATGTATCCCAACCACCTATGAATATATAGTATTTTGGGAATCATAAAACAGCTGAGTAATATTGGAACATTAGTATATTTTTTATGGTCCACTGGTCATGTTGCATGTCCCATAGGCATTGATGGGTATGAAATGGCTGACAGAGCAGCAAAAGAAGCTTTTAGCCTTCCAGGGCATGGTAAAGCTCTCTTAACTGCGTCCGAAGTGGCACGATTCCTGAAAGATGCCATACACCAAGATTGGCAGACACTATGGGATAACAGCACTCCAAATAAATTAAGGTGATTACATAGAAAGTGAAGCCATGGAACAGCTCCAGTCACTGTAAACTCAGAGAGGAAGTTATTACACAATTAAGAATAGGTCATACCAGGCTTACGCACCTTCACATAATTACAAAAGGAAACCCGCCCATTTGTCAGAAGTGTGGAGAGAGAATGGCAGTGGTCTATATCTTCGAGAGTTGTGCCTTTTACATCAGAGAATTAAATTAAAAATCATTTTTTTCAACTACTTTCCATCTTCCATGCTCAATACAGAGATCAGCTTCTCAGAAGTTCTCCTTGGCTGTTCCTCCTACAAGTCCTCAAGTATTCTGCAGTCAGTAAACAAATGTGCAATAGTATCTTCTCCAGTTGCAGAAAAGGGACATAAACTTTTCTGCTTTAACAGAGAAAACCTGACTCTGAGTATAAAGCCTTTCACGTTTATGGTCTGGGAATCGAAGCTTTGATCTTAGACAGATCTTCCTAATATTAGTTTTCAATGCTAATAATCAACATCTTTAATGAACAAATGATTATAAGATGGTTCTATGATACACTTTATTTGCTCCTTGTTCATTGCTCTCTGCTCCTTCCATTAATTAATTTAAATCAATTCATTAATTTTTTTTTTTTATCCTTTTCAAGTCTAGTGAAATAAAGGTTCTTTATTGCAGAAGTAATATTGTAACCTTTAAATTATTACCCGTGTACTTATAATTATAAGTCTACAAGCTTTATACGACTCTCCTGGAAGGCAGATTAAGGTCCTTACTTGAACACCTTATTGGGGAAGAGCAAGCTGGGTTTAGACTAGGATGGCAAACTCAGAATCATATATTCTCCCTAAGAAATGTTATACAGAAATCTTGGGACCGGAATAAAAACACATACTTAGCTTTCCTTGACCTGAAAGCAGCATTTGATACGGTTACCGGGAATGAAATATGGGAGGCTCTTAGAGCTAAAATGTCCCAAGGAACTTAGTGGAGGCTGTTAAGTCCATTTATCAACACCCAAAGGAAGTTGTTAGGCTAAACAGGTTGGAGTCCGGTTGCTTTGACATGGCAAGGAGCGTAAAAAAAAGAGATAGTTTGAGCCCAGTACTATTTCTAATTTATATGGATGAGGTTTCGGCCATCTGTAAAAGAAGAACAGAAAGGACTTTCCTGGGGAGAAGAAACGTACATCCGGTGGTGATGCAGCTTCTGCTACATGCTGATGATGTCCTTGTCGCTGATGCGGCTGAAAAGTTGCAGCAGGACTGAATGGTATAAGGAACTCTACCGGAAAGGAATGCAGATCAATACCAGTAGGAAGGCAAAATGAAGATACGCATGTACGCTGCAATGGAGAGCAATTAGAAGCGGTCTCAGATTTTACCTCCCTAGGAACTGTCATAGAAAGATCGAGGAAAGTGGACTTAGAAATATCCAACAGGATAAGCATAGCAATCTGCTACCAGATTTGCAACACTGTTGTAGGAAAGCAAGAGGTATTTATATTTAAATCTGTGTACCTGCCAATACTTCTTAATGGAGCTGAAAGCTGGATATTGACAGACAGGCAAGAGAGCAGAGTCACTGCTACTGAAATGAAGTTTCTTCGAAGAACAGTCAGTAAGACTAGGAAGGAACAGGTTCGCAATGTAAATATACGCCAGGAGCTGGGGGTC